GGGGTGTGGTGCTCCTTATACGAGTATTGTGAAACAAAGTGCCCAATGTTTAATAGCTCGCTTACCAACTTGCCCGATTTCCGCCCATAATCAACATTTTAAATCACCAATTGACGTTTTGCAGTCGTTTATGCGGTCTAAACCGCACATAATTATGCGGATAATTGCATCTATGATGGCTGGCTGCTTATTTAATAAGCAATTATGTGCTATTTATTTTTATTTGGGCGAAAAAAGCGTGCGCTCGCAGCGCCGAAAACGCCCAAACATTTCATTTAATGAAATAACAAACAAGATGCACTAACAGCGTCAGAACAGCAAACAAATAAACGGCAAAATAGTGGCCAAAGTGGAGGAAAGCGCGCTAATGGCAACTTTAATGCTTCGGGCCACGAGTACATACAAACATACAAGTATACACTTATTTTTGGGGCAGGGGAGCTCTGTGGGCATAAGGATGCGCATAATGTGCAAAGTTTGCGACGCAAACTAATTTCAAAGTAATTACGTAGCACAAAAGTGTTGATATTAGACGGCAGGAGCGGGCAAAAAGCGGGCAGCTGCAAAAACAACATGACAAAATGTCGTCAGCAGACTACAAAAAGCCCCACAAGCCAGAAAATACAAAAATACAACTTGCCAGCCAAACAGCTGCACAAATGCGATGAGTTTACACCAGCATCAGCCCACTCCCAGGATCCCCGAATGCGCCACGTCAGCGCGGCATCATCAAGTCCTTTGCCGACTTTCCGGCGCTGCGAACAAGCCCCAAAAAATGCAATAAAATGGGGAATAGGGAAAAGTTCTTGGGCAGGAGCGCCGTCAAAGCTTTTGGCTTTAATACGCGGTCGGGGAGAAATTAAACTTGGTATCTGGCTTCGTTGGGAGTCCCACAGTCCCCCGATATCCTAAGTAGCCTCATTTTCCCCCAGGCCGCGCAATTTTCTTTTATTTGTGTAATATTTTACAATTTCATAAAGCAAACGAAAACGGCGAAATATGGGGGCAGCTTGGGGAGCCGGCAGCCATGCATTCAAAGAAATCATGACACACTTGCTTTAAGCGGTTCTTGCACGCCTTCAAAGTAAGTCATATATATACTTAATCAATAACAAATAACTATATCTTAAGTGGCAGCTGGTGAAATCGCCGACTTCCCTCTTAGCCCACGAACCAGCCAGCATTCTTTTAGAGTGTATATAAAGCCAGAGGCTCTGCAGGCAGCTGGGCGAGTTTTCCCACAAGGCGCCAGCAGGAAGTCGAAACTCGGCAGCAAAACACACAGATACACACACTCAAAACACACGCGGCGGAAACGGAAGCTGCAAAAACAAGGACCGTCGGGCGACAAAAACAAAGGAAAGCAGGGGAGAGAGAGCTGCAGCAAAACAAAGAGGGAGCACTGGAAAATTCCGCTCAAAAGCGGCTGGAAACTGGTAACACAAACGCGGCAGTAGAGGCAAAAAGAAAGCGGCGAAATTTCACTTCTAGGCCCAGAAGTTCCCTCTTAAATCGTAGATACAAGTCTGAATAATGTGCGATATAAAATTATATTTTTAAAATTCTGTAGCCGGAATAATATTATATTTTATTCACAAATATAAAATTTAAAATTTATTACAAGGCGGCTACAGATTAGCTGCAAGAACCTTTTAAAAGTCCGAATATCGTAACAAGCTTTTGAAAGTCGGGCAATTATAGGGGTTCTATCTTTCGCAAGTTATTACCGCACTTAGTGGCCAGCCAGCCACCGAGAAGGCGTTCCGATTATTTAGGATGCGCCCCAGCTTGGCTTTTGAGCCCTGCGGATAGTGGAAGCATCTCGGCCATTCCGGGCACGTTCATAAACGGCATTTTATGTCCTGGAAGGACAGCTGTTGCCGCTCGTCGGACCATAATGAAAATATTTACAAGATGGAAACTTGTTTCGGCTGTGTGTGCAGACATAAAATTAGCATTTTTATGCACACACATAGCACACAATTAGAAACAGTTGCAGCCAAGGATACCTATCCTTTTCAGTGCCTTCCACTGCAGAATGGCCAGCATAAAGTGAACTTTAATGGCGACCAGGTAGGTTTGTTAGCTCACATTTACATGGGCATTAAATGGCTCCAGAACCAGACATTTCCTGCCACCGATGCTGCTCCTCGTCGATTTGTTTTCGGTCATTACGTGCCCGAAAGGGAGCAAAAAATGTGGACACGACTGGAGGGCAGTCCAAGGCGGCTGCTCCTCCAGTTTTTAATGGCTTCGCCGGGCGAGCACTTGGAGTGTCGTTACGGCTGGCGATAAAATCCAGAACGGGGCGTGGTCGGCTCCGGATGCTGGACTACGGGTTTGTCTGACTGACTGGCCATTGGCCATTGGCCATTGCCTGCAATTAAACCCGCACCAGCTCCTCCACCGATTGCGCCGCCCAGCTGGTGTGTTAATTGAGGTAAACTACCATTTTTATACCCGCGCCCCCTTGCCTTTCGCCCGCCTCAAATAGGTTTATTGGGAAATTTATTTGTTTAATTGCATTATTTTTTGTTCCCGCGCTGCTGAGGCAAAAAATGAGAGAGTATGCCATTAAATTGTTTTTATGGCGCACTGGCATAAGCTGGAAATTTATCGCTCTTGTTTGGCAAACGGAGCGGACCGAGCGCAAGGCTTAATAAAATTAAAAAAAAGTTTTTCACAATTAAATGGGGTATTTTGCTAGCAGCTTAAATTAAATTTCTGCAAATTTCCAGCCGCATTCCGGTTGAAAAAATGTATCAATGTTACCGATAGGCCTTCTTTGTCTTAGTGTTTTAATATTTTTAAATTACTCCCAAATTGCTGCTCTTTCCCAACTGAAACAGGCAAAAGGCGCCACTTTGGATCTAATCTACTCCGCAGCAAATTTATAACCAAGTTTTTGAGACCAGCTCCAAGTCAGTTAATCCCTGCTTCAGCTCAGCTCTCGTTTGAGCAGATTTTCGACTGGAAAGCCAATCGGATGCAGGGATCCGAAGCAAAAGACAGTGAACGATTGGATAGGCTGCTGGCTCAAGCATTTAAGCCTAATTTAAGGGGGCGGCTGCTCAAAGGAGGCCAGTCTGACAGGCAGGCTGGCAGGCAGGCAGGTCCTGGCAATTACAGTTAAGGCAATTTTCGCAACGTGTCGCTGACTGGCTCCCACTCTAATCACCTACCACTGCAAGCGGCTTTTGCGCCGCTTTTGATCCTTTTTCAGCCTGTGCAGCATCCTGTTGATGGCCTCGTTAGCTGAGACTTACAACGGGCCGCCATACAATGAAATCGACACACACACAGACACAGAGCCACACATCCGCACGGCTGCCATAAAAACGAATGTCCTGGCAAAAGAACGAAATGGAAAACACACCAAAGGTACTAAGCGAAAAGGAGGCCAACCAATGGCATTTACATTTAAAGCCCACTTGCAAGGCCGTTGTCTTCTGGCCGGGCCCGAAAATAAACTGCAAACTTTTCGCAGCGCAAAACTTTGCCAATTTAATTAAAGCGAAGCGACTTAGTGGATCGACCAGGTCGCCACACCTTGGAGCCCGAACTTTGGTGTCCTTTATGGCCGCGCATTCCAGCGCACAATGTTGGAAAATGGGATGGGTGGCAAATCGGGCTAGGAGGCGGAAGGGAAAGGACATGCAACTGGTTGCACTCTGCACTCTGCACCCGTCCACATTTTATGGACCATTCAAAAGCGCTACAAAAATGAATCACAAGCGATAACAGTTAAGGCGAAAACTTGCAGTTTCCTTGATTACAGACAAGTTGCTTCCCCGCGGGCGAGTTTTTGTGGGTGGAGTCAATTACTCATCCTTTCACGCGACTGATTTCATACCCCTGTTCAACACTGCAGTCTACTTAGAATCCAGTGTGGGTATACGTTATTTTTTAAATGAGAGGCTTTCATTTTGGAGTAGAAAGAGGCAGAGACAACGCAAAGTGATTCGCATGCAGGACTCAAATCTTAACTGTCATTAGTGCCAACGCAAAACTGTCAGCCGGAGCACTCGGAAGCGTTTAAGTGCACTTGAGTGGATTTTAATGGACTCCAACGCAGGGGCGCTGGGCAAGTGGGCGTGGCGCAACACTCCAGACTCTCGTGACTCTAATCAAGCCTTTTGTCTCAGCTTGAGAGCAAAATGCGGAGCAGGAAGCTGCACCACTCCGTCTGTTCCTCAATCATGATTTCGACTTGAGCCTCTGCACAGCGAGAAAATGATTTCTTGCAAGTAAACTGTAGCAACCACTATTATGATCATCTTGCGATGATGATCATCTTTCTTGCCGTGTACCGCAGCAGCTGGCTCAAATGAAATGCACATAGCTGGCGTACAGAGGTCGTCCATTTCATGGCCCATTTAATAGGCAAAACATTTGCTAATTAGCCACCGAGTGGCCGCCATCGGCAATTGAGGCGCCGATGCGTGACTTAACCAGTGAGCTTCTCTCAGGGCCATTATGGGAATCCTATGCAAATACCCAGGACCTCGAGAGCTCTGGCGGAGGAGGGGGAAATCCGGGCTGCGATGGGGCAACAATGGATGGGAAACTTGTAACTGGGCCAGGATTTCTTGCTACAAATGCGCCCGTTCAACAACAAACTGAACTCGAGTCGACTCGCACTTCTATGGCCTACTTCATTAATATTTATACAAAGCGGCAGAAGTTCAGAGTACCCGGCCAAATGGATTTTGCTTTGAATCCGCATTGTTCGAAATGAGGCGGGGGATTTGGGGATGTTTGCTGTTAACTTTCGGATTCGTTTCCGCCGTAATTGAACTACAAATGCGGCGAGTCGCACATTTATTTGCTTGTTTATTCGGTTATTATACGACTGAGCTCACAAAAAACGGGCAGGCAAACAAATGCTAAATTGTAAATCAAACAAATAAATCAGCTGCAGTTAAGCCAGCTTTTGTTGCTGAATGCGTTTGAATGTGGAAACTGATTTTCATTACGGTCGTCTATTCATCTATTTGCAGAGCCGTTTAAACACTGCGGTCAAATGAATCTGTGTACTTCAAATTCTCCATTTCGGGTAAGTAAGCCACCACGAATATCAAATGCAGAACATCGCTTTTTGTGCTGATAAATCCACAAAGGACATTGAGAAGGCCCTTCCACTCGGCAGCTCTTGTCTCCGGGCCAAATTTATGTTTTGCCAGTGCAAATGGAAATGCAATTAGAGCCTGCTTTTAAGAAACATTTCCTTTTTGCCTCGCCTGTCATCTGTAGCTTGTTGTTTGCCACTGCAGTTGGCATTTCTGGAATAAACAAACTTGCGAATCAGCCGGGCAGCAAATTAATTTGACAATGTGAGAGGTGATATGTGGGTAAATCAGCTTGGCAGGATGCATTACACCTAACCCTGCTTTTTAGTGGCTTGGCATTCCATTTGCACTACTCACTTGTATTTCCTCCTGAATATCCCCAAATATTTAGGGCCAAAGGTGACATTGTGCCACACCTCTGCATGTCCTGGCTGCAAGCAAGGACCTTCAATCAGATGGCACTTCCTTTGCTGCTCCGCCGAAAATGAAGTTAAAGCCTTTTTATGGGGCCCACGTGCTGTTGGTTCTGAGCATGTTGTTCGCGTGGCCATGTTATCCTTGGGATGTTTGCCGCCGGCTGCTGACGCAGCTATCCTTTCGCCGATCCTTCGGTGGTTTTATTTGCCGCGCATCTTTGTTGACTGAGTGCAAGAGTGTAGCTAACGGGCACGATGTCCGCGCGAGGAATTTAATTTGGCTGCCATGGCTGGCAGGAAACATTGTTGGCCCGGCGAATTTGTTTACGTTTAGCGCAGTTTTTAAATTAATTTGTCAGTTGGCAGCAGTTCCTTGGGGCACACACTCCGCTGAAGAAATATTTACTTCGACTGCAGGCTGGATATGAAATATGAACAATAGTTGGAGCGCCTGCATATGCCAACCTGCATATGGAGTCCTTTATTCTAATCCGCATGGGCGGCTTGACTTTTCCCCACATTTGCATGGCTATTTGTTCAAGGAAGTCCTTGCCGTCTTCGTGCTTGTGCGACCGTAAAAAGGACATTCACATCTGCATATATGCATGAGAAATTTGCCAAAACTTTGCAACTAACCATGGAAATGGGGAATGATAGTAGCGAAACAAGTCAAATAAGAGATCATCCGATTAGATGCAAAGGAGGAGCACAGGGGCAGTTTGCCTTAATTGTATTAGAAAACGCACCGATATGCTGCATGCAAATGGCAATATTTTGCCAGTTTGTAAGGAAAGGAAGTCACTTTTCGTGGTGATCCTTTGAGTTGCACACATGCATAGCAGGAAAAAGTGGTCATGCATATTGCATAATAAACAAGCCAGCACACATGCATTTATTTGTTTCAATGCCCGAACAAAGCCAGATTTTTCACAAAACCAAAAACCAAAAACATAAAACAGCAAATACTAAGTAAGCCGACATGACGGACGAACTGGCTCAAGTAAAAGATACATTGGCCAGATACAGCGGCTACAAAAACAGCACTGGCATATGCTCAGATTTCCTGTAACTTGGTTTTTGCTATTTGCATACAAAGCATTCGACTTTTGTTCCAGATGTCAAATAAAATATACGATATACACATGTTCGGCCATCTGTGGGTTTGATTGCCCAGGTCCATCCGACACATACAGATACAGATACAGATACAGATACTCGGATACTGAGTTCTAGACGTGACTGCGACACGACCAATTAGTGTTGCCCGTCCACGGACCGCCTGCCGCTGCCCGGCATCCTGGGATCCTCTTCCTGGAACACAGCTCCAGGCAAATTAAAGACTTAAAGCCCCTGCAATCCCCCTCTTCACGGAGGCCGTCTGTAATTCAAAGCAGGCATTGAATTCAACACCTTTTATGAAGAGCCCGGCGCATGCACATGCATACAAAATTCAAAGGACGAGGAGCACGAGAAGGACGAGAAGGAGTCCTGCCATTGTGGCAGTGTGCTTGTTATTTGATGACTATTTTAAGGACACTTTGCCGGCGTCGTTTTAGCAAGTGCCCGTTCTCAAAGTGCTAAAAAAGACCTCAGAGATATGCTGGCACATGGAGAATAAAACGATGAGCGTAGTGTAGTAAGCCGAGTACGTCAATTTAATGAAAAACGGGCGATAATAAGAAAAAAGGGGGAAAAGCGCCTGAAGGCGTCATCGGAATTTTAAACATAGCAAATGGCTAAAAGCGTTGGAGTTGCTCATGGAATATAAAGACTATATTTTGATTAAGTGCAAAGGAGCTAATTTAAATGTTATATTATGCTGTTTTGCGAACTTAAAACCACTCATTGTTGCCCTCACCTCTTTTGGTTCGCCTGGACCCGAATCATAACCAAGAATCAGATTGGCGAAACCAACTCGGCTTCAATCAAAGTCCTTGTGCAGAGTAAGGCAGGAAAACTCGAACGACAGCGGCAGACTTCAAAGTGAATGAAAATCGTAAGAAAACCCGATGGAAACTTCGCAAGAAGTGGCGAGGAGCGGGGAGGCTAACAAGTAAACAACCATTATGCACTCCACATAAACGCTGGGTTCTGAGGAAAGTGGAAAGTGGAAAGTACGATGCTATCGAGAGGGTAAATGGCAGTTGGGCAGCATAAACACATTTTACGGGCCCACTCCCCACCCACTTCCCACCCCCGCAACACAGCGAGAAAAATAAACAATTTCATAAGATATGCGGAAAATGGAGGAGCGCGCTGGAAAATATCTGAATATATATCTGCGGGAAGGGGCAAAAGGCAAAAGGGAAAAGGACAACCGCAGGAAAAGCGGAAAATGCAAAACAAACAAAAAATTCTCAGATGGCTCCAAAAAGGAAAAGAATGCGACCCAGGCGACGAGACACTTTGCCGCCAACGCAAATAAACCCCTGAAAATGGACGGGGAGAACCAGAGGTGGACTCCGGGACGGTCCTGGCCACCAAGGATGGCGTAGGGTATCCACAGCTAAATGAAGTAAATTATTTTCAAACGTACTGCAGGCCAGAACGAAATTACAGCAGCACTGTGATATTTTATACAAACTAAGGTTTCTAATAGTATTCCCTAAAAAATAGCTTAGCCAAACGGATGTCGATGGTTCCAAGTAAAATATTAATCTAAGTTTGTTACTGCTGAAAGAATTAGTTGTATTCCATATTTTGGGCAAATAAAAATTGGAGGCTAAGGAAAAGCGCCGAATACAACTGGAAAAAGCCGAATGTGCAGCTCTGCCAAGAAAAGTGGGAAAAGAAAGGGCGGAGGAAAGTGGGGAAAAGGAGGAAAGCAGGAAAGGACAGGAAACCAGGGGCGACAAGCAGAAATGGCGACATCGTTGGCCACTCAGCAGCGTTTGCCACTTGGAGCAAATGACAGTGTGGCCGGCAAGGACATCGTAAGGACAATGCTAAGGAGCAGAGCTGAGAAATAAGCGAGGGCAAACACACATAAATACTTCAATTTTTATTCGCAAATTTCACTTATGCATACATGTTTGGCGTTTATGTGCGCAGAGTAAATATGAAATATTGAGCGGGCATAAAATTAAATCCGCACTCAAACATACAAAGAGGCAGCATGTCGGAGTGGACCAGTTGGCATAACAAACTGCTGATAAGGAGAAAAGCCCGCTCGCGCGGGAAAACACAGGGAAAACTGGGGATGTGGAAACATCTGCGGGCCGAACGGGCGCAAACAAATGGAAACTCTGTGCCCCCACATTGTGGAAATAAATGCTCTGTTTTCCGGTTTTCCAGATCCAATCGCTGCCAATCTCGCAAACATAGCTCTTCTCAAATGAACTCAAAGGCAAAACTTCACATCTGGGAAAGGAATGGGGCTGCAACTCATGTATCTTCAGTATTTTTGGACTAGGTCTTGTTAGTTTCCTTGAAATTGATATTAATTTAAAATATTTGGAAATATATTTAAATAAATTTAGCACATCGACTAAGGGCTTTAACTTCTGTGTCGAATTAGGAAGACTCACTTATTCGTGGTCAACAGTTTTCGTCATCTGATGCATGCCACGCCCCCCGTTGCAGCCACGCCCCAATATGCCAACTCCGCTGTCAATCAAGTGACAACCACCCAGCCATTTGGAATTTCCTCTTTGTTATTCAGCTCGTGGGGAGGAGCCCGCGGTAAAAACTGCTTATCAATGAAGGAGCCCCACAAGTTCTTCCTTTCGTACATATGCACACTTGAAGGGGAAAATCCACGGAGAGATTGGCAGTGAGACATTTGCATGTGTATTTGCTTGTTGGCTGGTTGGCTGGCTGGCTGGTTGGGGCTTTGTTGTAACTTTGACATTTACGCAACATGTCCCTGTTGCATGTTTGCAATTTGCATTTGCAAATAGTTGCCAAAACGAACATCAAATGCGGCTTCGCAGGCGGCAGGAGCGCGGGGGAGGGGCAACACTCTGAAAAACTTGGTATTGCAGCCGGATAAATACACATATTTATGTAGCAAATGTGGAACTGCAATATGCTTGCATCTTTAGATATGAGCCCAAAAGCGCCCAGAGTGCGAAAATATTTTTTTAAAAATTCAAGAAGTACGAAGAATGGTTGGTAAGACCGTTGTTGGCTTTAATATTTTCGGGAAAAGTTAGGGGAATTCTTTTGTCGGTCCCTCCGCCAACTGCACTGCCATTATTCTGGCTTTTCCGAACGAAAGTTTGTAAATATGCATGCAAATTTGGCCCGTTCTCGCTTTTTGCTTCCCGTTTTGGCATTCGAGTGGGTGGCACAGGAGGTGATTTTGGCCGCAGTTTTAGTTACAGTTTTCGGTTTCGGTTTCATGTTTGCCATGTTGCGGCAGCTCGTGTTGCCTGGTTTTGTTGTTTGCCTCTTGGCATGCATTTTGATAGTTTCAGCTGGCGTTTCCCCACCCGCACTTTGCATTTTCATAAATGCAGATACAATATGCGAGTGTGGCTCTTTGTATCTCAGCTGGTGTGCGGATGTGCGGCTGTGCTGTGGATTGGAACATTGGCCATATTGATAACCACACAACGTCGGCAGATAACTGGTCTGGTTATGGATAACATCAATATTCTATTCCGGCCAGGAGCCTTATTCATTTGAATCCCATCTCGAGCGTTCATTTGCATTCTCGAAATGCCACAAGGCCCACAGAGTCCCTGTTCTACTCCTTTTTTGAGGTATTAGCATATTGAAATTTGATCTGTGTGCTAGTTTGTTTGTTCGTCAATTAAAGCGTACTTTGCAAGGCCTATTTTCCATTTTTCAGCTGGGATTGCAGGATGATTTGGCTCTGAATAGCATTAGGAGTTCGGGGACTTGAAGCAGATGAATATGAAAGCAATTTACCTGGTTTGACCAATAAGCTCACTTCTGACATGGCCCAAACAGAAGGCAGCAACTTAAAACCCATTAATACACCATTTCGAAGTAATCACACGGAATTGCGTTTCTACTAGGCAAATATTGTTCCGCAGACGGCATTAATAGAAGCTTTTCTGGAACAGTTTTCCAACAACTTTCAACTTTAACTAACTGGGCTCATTGAAAAGTGCTGACGCACAAGACCGAAATCTCGGCAAACTTTGCTAAAAATAAACTGAAGCTTTTCATTGCTGTGATAAGTGTTCCTTGAACATCTTCAACTGGGAAGAGCAATTAAAAACTGTTGGCTTCATTCTGCAAATCACTTAAAATTATTAACAAACTTCGGCTCCGGCAGCCTGGCCTAAAAGCTGGCCAAACAAGTTGCCACTTTCAATCTGATGCCATGACCAAACAGAAAGGAAACTCCAAGGAAATCCCACACACTCGTCTAGATAAGAAAATCAGGCGACTGGGATTAAGATTAAGACTGGGGGTGGGTAAGTGCAAATCAGGAAAAAGTGCGTCAACTTTTCCCCTCTTTTTCCTGCTCTCCTTTTGCTGACTTAACAACATACAAATGATGAAAATGAATGACTACATCGTCGGAGCAGCGAATGAATGAATGAGTGAGTACATGAATAAATGCATGAACTGCTGTTTGCATGTGGAACGCGATGCTGAAAGCAGCTTACTCACGTTTGTGTAATCAGTGTGAAACCAGCGCAAGCCAAAGAAATGCGAGGAGCTGGGGCACAGGGCAAAGCCTCTTTCGAATACCACATACCCATTGGAAGACTTACATGTAGCCTCTTAGCTAGTGTGCTTACACAGCGGTGTATCCATTAAAATAGAGCTGAATACTCTGAATCGCAACTTGTATCTTAGTGCAAGCTAATAGCCCTAGCGACTCCTTCAGTAAGGGGTATTGATAAAGGACGAAACCTGCTTGAGTTCAGTATGCGCGCTGACATGCTCCCCACTTTTCCAGGGATTGAGTGACAGGTCGTCGTTTCGGTGATGAAAATTCCTTGCGACAATCGCTGTAAGCTATATGCGGGGGCGGGCTGCGCTTAGGGCGTGGCCAAGGCAAATACCTTTATTGTATGTCAACGTGTCAAAGCCAAAAGCGCCAAAGTCAATTCGAGTTGTGGTTGCCGCTGCTTGTCGTTGACAATTTTCCAACATCCATCTCCAGCTGCCGCTTTTCGCATTTCCAGCCAGCGCAGCATATCAGATTGGCTTAGCTCTTGGCCACAATGTTATGGCCCGGCTTAAAAGCGCAGTGACTCAACAATGGAGCTGGAGTCCATGAAGCCACACGCACCCATTAAAACTACTTAACGAGCAATTAAAATCACCAGCTAAGCACAAAAACCAACTGCACAGAGGGGAAAATGCAAGTCAATTGCATTTATCAAATGCTGCCAATTAGAGCAGGCGAAGGAACAAAAGAATTTTCTTGCCAAGGGGGTGGCAGTTCCGAAACAAAAGCCAAGTCAGGGCACTAAAAATTTATGACAGCAACTAACCTCAAAATGTGAATGCCACCCAGGGCGCATTACGCCCCAAATGCTGCGCCAAAGTTTGAGTTTGAATACCCTTCCCTTGGAGGGGCACCTGCCCTTTTGAGACCCACCCAAATCGAAGCTTCAATGGTTCTAGCATATTTAGTTAAATTGTGCAGCTCCCAAAATTGTGCAACGATTGTATCTGAACATGGCCTACAAGCAACTACCACTTATAAGCCCGAAGAGCATTTGGAATGCCGTTTCCCCCAAAAGTTGGCGATATTTCCACTTTCTGCGGCTTCGCTTGGCGCCAATGATGTCGAAAGCTGATTGCGCTTTAATGGCCGAGGCGCTGCCCAAAGTTTTGGCCGCCCCGCGAAGAGTTTTCCCTTTGATATGCATTGGGGAAAGGAACATTTCTAATTATTTAATGGCTGCACCGCATGCAGTTTTGTTATGCAAATGACCTCTTAGCCTGCCAAATATTTACGACTCGGGGCGTGTTCGGTTGCAGTATATTTTCCATTTCCAACTGCAAACGAAACTTTCCAATCGTTATTGCAGGCGCACTCGCACATGGAGTGCGGAAAACTCTCGCACACGCACACACACACACACTTGGCTGAACACGTAATGACCTCCCGCTTTTCCTCTTCCTCTTCCTCTTCCTCTTCCTTTGTGCAGTGATACGTGCGCGGCAAACAAAAGGCGTTAAAGAAGTGAGCCACGCCATAATCGGGCTTAAAGTGCTCGGGAAACTGGGTGAAGAATTTCCCACTTAACTGTGCAAATGTGAAAAGCAGGGGCACCAGAGTGCCAGAAGGCAGGGCTCTTGGAATTGCAAGAAAATTGCATTTGCGGAAAGGCGGCCATTGTAATCTGATTTTGCATTTGCCAGCCGAGCGAAAACAATAACCAGACTATCAATCCTAGGAGCCATTTCCGGTGGCCGTTTTATTTATTAGGTACACATGTGGCTAATGAAAATCTGTTGAGAACTTGAAAGTTTTTCAACCAGATAACTGGTTAACTTACAAGCTTATAACTCAGAAAAGACTTTGATTTGCCTCACTCAAGTGCTCACAAAATAAATGACAGCACCAATCTTGTTTGCATCACCGATAAATTTCGGTTCGAGGAGCATGTCCTCTGTAATTGGCTGGGAACTTTGGCTTCCATCTGTGGTGTGAATTTCACAGGGCAGGACAGTCGCCCCATTCCAGCTGCTCCTTGGACCGGGCATGTGGCCTTTTGACAAGGACCAAGGACGAGACGCTAACTTGATTGCCATTTCAATTGACCGCAGTTTTAGAATGCCTCTTGCCATAGTCATGGGCACCCAAATGGGCAGCTTCGGCTTTTGGCTTTTGTTGGGCTGCGGCTGCCTTTTGTCCACTTCCGCATCATTACGGTCGGTCTCAATTTTTGCCGCCCTCTCCAATTTGGCTGCTTTTCCTCGCATTTCCCGGCTTTTCCGCTGGCTTTCTGCGGTTGGCGAGCGGCTAATCTGTCGCGCTCATTGAATGTCCCGAATCGCAGTCTGAAGTCGACCGGAAGTTGCCACAGCTGCCGGATGCATCGATACCCACTTTCAGTGTGTGTGTTTTCATACAGAATTGTCGGCACTTATTGTTCGGTTTTCCGAGAAAGGAATTTCAATTAGCGTTTGCCTTTGGCGAATCCAGAGCGGGAAAGTACGCCATCATCATAGTTGCGGAAAAGCGCCTTAAATTCGAGTTCGATTAGGTTTGAAGCTAAGTAAACTAATGAACTTTTATCTAAATAAGGTAATTTCACATAACGTGCAGTATGTAGAAAATAACATCGGGAAGAACGGGAAAAATGAAATTGGCAGAGCTTATCAGTTGCTCTTGGCCACGAAAAACAACGAAAACAAGCCGCAAATCAAGTGGATGCCGAAACGAAATTGAGACATGGAAAATAATATAAATTGCTGAACAGTGCAAAGCGACTCAAATTAATAGTGTCCAGAAGGACGAGCAGGAACCATTCCAATGGCGAACATCCTGGCATGCCAGTATCCTAAAAAAGGGAACTGAAAATCCGGGGCGAGTGGAGGAAATGTTCAGGGCAGACAGTCAAAAGAAGAAAAGGAGCCCGAGGAGATGGAGCTGAGGAGCCGGGAACTTTAAGCAAAACATCCTTGCTGCGGTTTGGCTCAAGCTGAAGCGAAATGGATCCTGCCGAGCAGCCGAAACCATTGCCTACTTTCGGGCGTTTAGCCCGGCACTTTTCAATTTAGTTGCCATCGCCAATTTGCACAGACAAACTGCAGCTGCCACAAACAAAGTTTGCCGCGCGGCGAGAAAATGCTAGAGTTCATGGGGAAAATTCTAGAGTTGATGGCCTTTTAAAGCCATTTGAGGCGATTGCTGCCACTGGCAGTGGCAAGGAAGTTTTCCGCCAGTTCCAGCGCCACCACCAAAACAGCAAAAGACCAAAAACGCTTTGCGGTTTTCCCAGCTGCTCCTTCTTCTTCCACTGCGGCTTTACTGCCGCAGTTTTGTGGCCAGCTCACAGTTCTGCAGTTTCCACCAGTTTTTCGCTGCGTCTGCGTCTGTGTCTGTTCATGATTTATGTTGTCTCGCCTTGGAGCTCCAAATCCCGGTTCTGCGAGCGCGAAAAGAGGAAAACATGGAGGAAAGACCACTTGTCAGTCAATGCAGTTGGGTTCTGGAGTTGTTCCACAGTTAACCTTTCATTGAAGAACAAACACGAAAAAAGGTGGCCAGTGCTCAGTGCCACATGCAAAACTTGAAGCGATTGACTCTGGAAACTTAGTGGGTTTTCCGCCCGCTCCGCCACCTCTTCCAGTCACCTCCGACCAACTACTTTAAGTGAACCTAATGGCCTGATGTCTTCGACGAGTTTATTTGTTTGCCCAACTCTTGTTTTCCTGCCTGGACAATTTAGTTAGAAATTATCGTTTGGCTGTCAAGTGTTGACTCGGCCACATACGTGTATGTATGTCCTTGGCCACAAAGTTGGAAAGAAGTTAGCCGGAGTGTGCTTGTCATGCTGGAGGGCTGACAGGCTGGGAAACTTGCATATGAAAGTTGGTTAATTGAATTGAATTCATTGGAGAGGCAGCAGAGTTGCCCAAATAAATAATAACCAAACAGATACTAAATAAATCAGTAGGAAATCTTATAAATTAAACTGGATTCATTTGGGACCAGCTATTGCGGAGAATGCAGTAAAACAAACAATTGATTCAAATGAAGCTAGAAGAG